TCTTCAAGCATTTGAAGATTTTAATGACAACTTATGTAAGGATTTAGGATAAAAGCAACGTGTTTGTTGCCTTTACTGTGAATAGCTGTTTTGAACATCTGGTGAAGTTCTTGAAAACGCTTGCTTTTCAGTAATTTCAATAATCCCTGCTGTACCTGACCCTCAGGTTTGTACTCAGGTCTTTAAAAATCAGTGTTCTCTTACAGGTTTTTTGCCTTGAAAGGAATCATATTGAAATGATGAAGAAGCTGTAAGGTGTACAGTGTAAAACTAAAGCACAAAAGAAATGTGAGGTAATAGAAATCCTTGTTAGATTAGAGATGCATTTGGTGGGGGTTGGGGATATTGTGGCTGCCTGCTTTGGCTCTGGAAAATGCAAAGAAATCCTCCTTCTGTCATCATGGCTTGCTGAAACATAGTTATTTTAAGCTGAGAGTATGTACTGCAGAAGCTGACACTTGTGTATAGTGCTTGCCTTTTCTGTGAGGCTTCACTTTATCCCACATGGCTTCTTAGGAAGGAGGAATCGTAGAACTAGCAGAACACGTTATGCTTCTGGATTTGTCAGAAAAAGGCAGTCAGGGAAACACTGCGGGCTTCCATGGGACTGCCATATGTTAGCGTAAAGAAGTGCTCTTTCTTCTCGGTGGAGGCTGAACGTCCTCACAGTACAAAAATGACGTGTAGTAGGCAAGCTCTCCAAGTAACTCCCAGCCGCTAAGTTGCTCTGAGTGAAGTAATGGGGAAATTTTAAAGGTGTTTAAATTTAGAATTTGGAGCTGTGTATCTGGTTCCAGGTACCTCTGAAAATCATGCACTTTTGTGTGTCCCTGTGTTCTTGAAAAGGCTCTCTGGGGCATCGAAAGACTGGAGGGCTTGTGTGCTTTGGTGGCCGGGCTGGAGCTGCAGTGCCTGGCTAGGGCCCCTCTGCCTCCAGCTTCGGCTCAGTCACGGCTGTGTGCGGCCGTGTCCGTATGCAGGAGTGGGTCTGTCAGTGTGTCAGGGGGCTGCAGGATTACTCGCCGTTTGTTGGTCCGCCAGTCCTTCTCAGTCTGAAGTCTGTTAACGCGGATGGCAGTTTAGGGGGAAAAAAGTAAATGTGGGATAAACGAAAGACTGCGAGGTGCCGAGAGCCTTTTGCTTTGGAACCATTTCTAATGGTGTATTCCTAAAATAAATTTCAAGGGCTTTGTTGACATGCACACGTGATGATATGGGTGTAATTCATTTTCAGTGGCTTGCGTTGACAGTGTCACTTTGGAAGTTGAACTCCTGTTGCCTTCAGGAAATGAGATGAAAAAGCTGTGATTCTAAGGTTTAGGAGAATTTTGAACTGAAGTTTTTCTTGTATTCTTGCCTTATTTTAGCCTCATTAAAAAAAAAGGGGAGGGAAGGAAGGGGGGAAAGAAAAAAAGTGCTGTTACTTTCCCCTTATCTGTAAATACAAAGTTTCCTGTATAGCGGGTTGGATAACTTTGTACTGGGTTCATTTTCAAACTGTCTTCTGTGTGGCTGGTCTCTACGCTTGGCTTTAGGCAGCGCCCCGGGCTGGTGAAGACTGCTTGCTCCTCTTGCCGCAGAGCCAGGAGGCAGTTACTGAGCTGCTCCAGGCAGGAGGAAGGCTTGGTTCAAAAGCCTCTGCCAAGTTTGTCGAGCCATAAATTTGACATTTTAATTTTTTTAGTAACGAATTCCCTCCTTATCGTGAGCAGAAGTTCAGAAACGTCCACACTTCCAAGCAACGTTTCAAACTGGGCTGTAAAATAACTCCTGCCCAGAGTGGCATATGGTGTGCTTGTCTGCCTCTTGTCCGCCTCATCTAAACTCCCTCTCTCTTGTTTGCTTTGCGAATTCTTCCGTCCTGTTCGTTAAAGGAAGGGTCAAATTCTAGCGATCAGGTTCATTCTCTGAGTGAACTTCTTGGTGTCATCCCTGTGAAGATGATTGTGGATTAGGTGTATTTATGACCACACACCAGGCTATGGCAGAGAAATTGGTCCGGAGATGAAATTAGGTTTGTCCTTAAAGTACAGTAGAAAGTTTGGAATCCCAGAACACCTTCAACAGGGTGGATTTAAAGTAAAAAATAAATTATCAACTAATCTTATGATTTGTTGCAGGGCCTCAGGCCTGTATTTATGGTGCTTGCTGTATCTTGAGACTTTTCCTCTTAGCTTTTATCCTAATTAACTGGATGTTTGAGAAGTTTCTAACCATACTTTGACTAGTATTAATTTTAATTGTTTCTATTGTGCAAGTGAGACAAAATACTGCGTTTTAGAATCTTTTGCGAATCGAATTTCCATCAACTGTTTTTTGGACTTGGTAGGGCTTTGTAGGTATGCTTGTGAAGTGCTTCTGTTCGTGGCTTTGTAATTTGTTTTTGTTTTGAAATTGCTCTCTGAAGAGGGACATGACAAGAGTTGTCAGTCTGGGAACGTTTAATTTTACCATACGTAAATAAGCTTGAAGGTAAATCTGGGTTCTGTTTAGAGTGGGTTAATTTTTGTTACAGTCAAGACATGGTGCTACTCCATATTTCTGTCCCAAAAGGAGCAATTGGAACTCTGTGATCTCTTGAGAGAGATGAAGTATTCCTGAGGCCAGCACATGGGACATTTGGAGCACAAGCAGCCTGTTTACTTCTTAAGAAGAGCCATAGCTCTTTAAAGTGCCTTCATCCTTAAATAACCAAAAAAGGCATAGTTAAGCTAAATAAGCACTCTGATTAAGAAACCAATCAGCCTCAGTGTTGAGAAAATGTACTCTGAGAAAACATTTTTGATTTGAAAAGCTGAGCTTTCAGCTGAACAAAATGGACAAGCATTTGAGTGGGTGCTTGCACACTGTGAACACTATCTGATGCTTTCTTCTATGTAAGAATAGAACTAATTGCAAATTAAACAAGTTGGGTGTGTTTGAGGGACTTGCTTTTCTGTTCTGACAAGGGTCCTTTCTTCTGACTTAAAACATAGTGTAGATCTAATCTTTAAGTAGTGTCATGTTCTTTGTTTGTGGTTACTGGAATTTAATTATTGGCAGAACTTCGAGGTGATTCATTACTATCGCATGGGAAGCCTTTCTGCACCAAGCACGCTGTGTTACAGGGACAAGTCCCTAAACCCCCCCAGTGATAGTAATTTCTTCATTGCAAGGCAAAAATCTAAAGGCTGTGTATTGTGCAAATTAAACCTTTTCTAATGAAACAAAGGTGGACAAATAAAATGGGTATTATTTTTTTTAAGTGTAAAATAATTACTCAGTTTCACTTCTTTTCAAGGAATACTAGTTGCATTCTGAAGCTGAAGACTGCATGTGGTTGGCCTGGTTTAATGTTTAGTAATATGTCTTTCTGATTTATATGAAGTAGTTCTAAATACAGCTTCTCTCTCTTTTCTGCTGTTCTTGGGCAGTGTCAGTGAGGTTTTGGGGGTTCTTTTTGTGAGTTTTTCTTTTTTTTGATGGTGCTCTTGTTCGTTTGGGTTTTCTTTTAAATTGATATATGGGCACAGATAACAGGTAACTGTTAACTGCTTATGTGTAATATAACTGGTGTATAAAGTAAGAATGTGTTGACTCATGTCTAGCTGTAGGGATCAGTCCTCTTAATACGCATCTGAGATTCCAGCTACGCTATGGCTGCTACCTTTTTACTTCTGCTTTGTAGCCTTATGCAAGCTGAGTCTTATGAGCATCCATTATTTTTTATTATTTTTAAATTTGTAATAAAGACAGTAAAGCAGAATCATACCAACTCAATTGGTATGGAAACGTTAACACAAGAAATTTATTTTTCTGTGCAAACTCTTGATACTATCTGTTTCTATGTGTGTTTCCTTTTAATTACTTATATAAATGAGCCTTTAATAAATTCTGTAGTGACATGAAAACTTAATCCTTTGATAGACTAGAAGAAGCAAAAATTACTCATGCTACCTCAGTTTGTATTTGAATTGATATCAAGTGGAGTGTACCAGTTTATGGGACTTAGTGCACTTTTATAATGGCTGTTACAGTGGGAATTCAGTGTCTTGGTAAAGCTGAACTTTCAAAAAATAGTTTATTTTTCCTTCTTCTCCTTCTGTTCTTTGGTGGTGTTTGGTACATCAGAATTAATGAAATAGCTAGCTATCAGTTAATGCCAAGCTTTGTGAAAGACCAGCCTTTAATGATGGTTGATCATCATGCATTACAGATTTTTGTAGCATTTGGCTTGTGCCTTGTGGAAGGGGAAGAGCAGAGACATAACAATCTGACAAGGTGAAAGCAGAGCCATCAGATGTGCAAAAATCATGAGCCTTCAGTAATGAATGCAAATGAAAATGTACTATGTTTGACCTGGAATACTACTTCCCAGTGACTGCTGTTTTTGAGCAGAGCATGCAGTACTGAGATACCATCCATGTATTGTTGTCAGTTGAATTTTCTTTGTGGTGTGCTTGCTTCTCTTGCAGTCCTCCCTGAATGTTTTGCATTCAGTGGTACTATCTACTTTGCATTTGATCTGCAGTGTGGGTATCATCGCTTTGTTTTATGTTTTTGAAGCTATGATTATAGGACATGACAATTCTTTTTCTCTTTCTCCACTGCTCTCTGTTTAGCCCAGGCTTTCAGAAAGGAGGTTGGAAAACACAGTGACTTGACTAGCTGTTGCAGTGATGTGTTACTAAGGGGTGGGTGATAGATAGAAGAAGAGGTGGAGATAGCAGTTACGGGGATGGGGAAAAAAAAAATCCAAGAGTCAAACTGTTCCAGCCTATTCTTTGGGCTTCCTTCCTGGATAAAAAAAGAGTTGATTTCCACCCCCACTCCCCCCACTGTTTTTGTGAGAATTATAGATGGCAAATTTAGCTGCAAAATGATGACCTGGGGGCTGTGTGCAGTGAAGTAAATGTGCACATAGAGAAATTTCAGCCCTTTCTCTTGCTTGGGAGCTTTACATTCTAGAGTGACAGCAGCTAATATTTGTGTTTTGTTTCCCCCCTCCCCACTTTAGATCCCTGCAGTGCACTCAGCCCACCGTGCTTTACTGAGGAGGACCGATTCAGCCTAGAAGCTCTACGCATGATCCATAAGCAAATGGATGATGACAAAGATGGTGGTATTGAAGTAGATGAAAGTGATGAGGTAGGAGTAAAAAGCCTTCACTTGTGCATACATGAGGTCTGTCTTTTTTTCCCCCCTGTTTTATATAGCTGCTTTTTATGTTCCAGCACTTCAGTAGTTGTTGCTGTTTTTCTTAATTCACCTTTCCCACAGCCAAATGTGGAAGGAAAGTCTAATTTCTAGAAGTGTCTTAAGTGGAGTATTATTGTCCATCTTGTCCATAGCCTAACAGAAAGTTTTATATGATTACATGTAAGAGCTGTTGTTTTTGTCATTAGTAGGAGAGGTAGGCAAATGGTGTTGGTTTAGCTTGCAATGAGGTAACTAACAGTCGACGTGATCTGCCACCTGGTATTTTCGTTTCTTTGCTCTAAGGTTTTCTTGCTTAAGGCATCTCTGGGCTTTCCTGTTTATCTTAGATCCGTTCCAGGCACTTCATGGTGCAATACAATACCTGTTACAGACAGCAGTCTAGAAAGTTTTCTTATGTGTTGTTGCTTACATTTTATGGGCAAGTAGTAAGCACTTCCTGCTGTAGGCTAATTGTAGATTAAGTCCTGTGAACTAAGGGAGGTTATTCAGACCTGCCTGAAGTTTTTTGTGAGTGTGCTTGCATGAGTTTGGTAGGCAGGCTCCTGTGGTCCTGGCAAAGGACTTGCCCTTGCACTTACTCAACTTCATGATTAGGATTCTCACAATTACTGGGTAGGAATGGAAATATCCATGTAGTTTTGTTGTTCTTGCTCCTTTTGCTTTCTGGCAGTGGTCAGGTACAGGCTTGAGAAAGGAGGGGGAGTGAAGATGTCCCCTCATCTCCTGTTGCCTAAAAATGAGGGTATTCCCATGTGCTTCTGAAGCCTGTTCTCACTGGAGGTGAGTGGGAGAAGAATCTAGCCCTGATTTCTCTTCCGTTTTTTGTAACATCTCAGGGAGGATTGTTCTCCCTGGATGAGTTAAGTAGCATCAATGATAATTCACAACTTACTTTTCTGTGTGACTGTGTACAAGCAGCATCAACAGTGGTTGACGCTTGGTTGATAGAAGTTTTCTGAAGGAATACAGTACAGTGCAGAGAATGATCGAGACTAAAATAATGTACTTTTTAGCTTTGGAGGGAAAAAAATCTGCTCTGTACCTTAGGGAGCGTCATGGCGAGGCAGTACAGACACTGGAAATAGTTTAGCTCTGTTACTGCAGAATGTTTGGTTATTGTCATTAATATTTTGGGACAGGCACAATCCAGTCTGCAAACTGAAACATTAGTGATGGAGTGTGAGCTTTCTGAGGCGTGTCTCAGCACTGTGTGATTCTCTTGACTTGTGCTGCATTTGTTATATGTGAAAGTTAAGAAAGTTAAAAGAAAATACTGAAATATTTGTACACTGGAAACTTTTTGTTAGTATTCAGAAGATCTGTCCTGGTTTCCAGTGGACCATCTTTATATCTGACCTTGAGTTTCTTCCTATTCCAGAGGAATATTGAGATAAATCCAAGAAACTACTCTTAAGCCTGTTAAAGTGACTGAAATGAGAACAGTTCATAAGGATTGCTGTTATAGCTGGGGTAATGAGAGATGAGTGAAACTGTATATTCAAACTACTTGCTGTCCATAAAATAAGATGACTGAAATGTCACCCTGTTTTCTGCTAGCTCATTTTAAATTATTGAAGAAATGTTTTGTAACCTGCCTATTAGCTTTTTTCTACATATAGTTTCCATGCAAATCAGGAATGAATAAGTATTTGCATAGAGTGCGTTCTTGTAAGACGTTAAAAGCACACCTGAAATTAGTAAGAAATGCAATTTAATTGCAAGTTCAACTAGTAATCTATATGTACTTGTTGTAGAACTCTTACTGCATCTTAATCTTAAAAGATCTGACATTTTAGCGGCATGGTTACTTAGTTATCTGATTACAGTAGGTCTGAATATATACTGAATATGTCCTAATGTCATTTCAAAACCAGATTTTTTTTTTTTTTCTGTTGCAGTGGGTAATGCTTCTTGTTTTGGTTAGGAATGAGGATTGAGAATTAAAAAAACCTTCGAAGTAAAGCTTGCATGAAATACAGAGATTTTGCTTAACAGCAGGATAATGGGTTTCCTGTTTCATGCTGCATGGTTTCTGCTTGCAAGACTTCTGGAAGAGCAGTGAGCAGTGTATTGAGTATGGTGATTAGATATTCATCGGCTTTTTATTTGGCAAGAAAAATGTGACAATGTACAATATCTTTCTGCTGTTTTACCAGCACTAAAACAGCGTACAAGTTAGAAGTGTATATTTACACCAAGGAAGGAAGTTCCTGTAAATAGGTTATTTTGAGAGGGGATGGTAACAAGAGCTAAAGATGTTGAACTATTTATTTTAACTATTTTAATTTGCAAATCCAGTTGAGAAGTCCCAACAGTGATTCCAGACACTTCATCTGCACACTGTCTGTTATTTTTCCAGAAGTTCCTTATGCCCTGTTTTATGCTGTGGTTTGTTTTTTTTTTCCTCTGTAAAATGCAGTCTTGCATAAAATCATTCTGTGGAGAGAGAATTTCTCTAGGATGTAAGAAAACTTAAAATTTATAAGAAACTTATTTCGTCAGAAATTGTCAGATACTAGAAGCCCTTTGTATCTACTTTGTGTGGACTTGGAAGAAGCTTGTATTTGACCTTGATGAAATTGATGTGGGGAAATTTGATCTAAACTTTTAGCATGGGATTTATTAGTCATTGAAACACATGAGGAATTTGTCGAAGTGTTCTAAGGAGGATAGAGCGGCTCTTGTTTGAGCATGGACTGGTTAGATTTTTTTTAATTTTTTTTTTCTACTGTGGTCTGTTACCTGGGTTAGACTGGATGGTATAACTTCAGAGATTTACAGAGATTAAAAAACTTGAATTTTAAATTTACTAGAACATACTTTATAATTGTGTTTCTTAAAAAATATTTGGAGAAAAAGAGCTTTTGTCATAGCTACTTGTATATTTGAAGGGTTTTTTTTTTTGCATTCAGGATTCACATAACTTTATAATACTTTCCCTGAATTTTCAGTGTAGAATTAAGTACTTCAAAACAAGAAGCATAACTTAAAAAAAATGGTTTGGACAATAAATTTGCATTGTACTTTAAAGTAGAATGTGCTTTACTGTGCAGTTGCTAATTTCTGTAAAGCAGGCTGTCACAGTGTGCAAACCAGAGACAGTGGCACAGCAGAGAAGAGGAAATAGGAAGGACGTGGAAAAAGACTATACTTACCTTTAGGGCAGGCTAATATGAATTTCTCTATCATATCTAGCTCCTGCTATTATTACTTTATTATTAACATACAAAAGACTGCAATTCTTTAAATTGGTTTAAAGAGGTAGGCTGTAAAAGGGTAACTGAAAGGGAGAATGTATTACTAACTGGGGTTTTAGTCATGTGTTGTGGGAGGCGATCTGCCTCAGGAAGCATCTGTTGCACCACGTGTGCATGATTCGTTTGACTGATGAAGAGGTACAAGCAGTGAGACAGATTTATCATATGCTCATTATTTACATAGGTTTTTCCTGTTTCTGCAGAACCTCTATATGCAGATCCTACATAAAGTAATTTCCTCAAGGAATCTCTCTGTAGAAATAGAATAAGTTGACATTTTTTATATATTAACATCTTGCTGTGTATCTAATGTCACACAAAGCTAATGGCATGAATTTACAGCTTTCCGTGGGGTCTTTGGATAGATCATTTAATTTCTTGATATCTTATTATGAGTGTACTTGCATTATTACTTAACAAAAAACCCCAACCCAACAAGCTCCACACAAAAACACCAAAAAAAGAGACAAAAACCACTGTGTGGAGAGGAAGAAAGTACATTATTGAAAGCACAAAATGATCAGAGGGTGGCTTTTAACAGTACGGTCAAAGTAGTTGGAACCTCAGGGGTGATATGCAGAAGTGCCTGACTTAGTGTTGTCTGGAGGCAAGAATCAAAGGAATCTAGCTTTAGTGACCTAAAACAGGAAGGGTGATTGTCTTCTATACAGCAAGTAAAGCAGAAAAGTAGCTAGGGTGATCTGATCAGGAATAGCAAAAGTAACATAGCACTTTGGATATAATAAGTTTGACAAGAGCAGAATATTGCCCAGCCCAAGATCTTCCTTTGAAGTGACCGTTTCTGAATGGATCGGCTCCGTGAAGCTAGTTTTTGAGGGATCGAGGACGTATTTGCATCCAAGATGCAAATAATCCAAGTGAGGTGGAACAACTATCTTGAGAGATTATGTTGTGTTTTTTGAGAGAAGAGGAAGAGGTGGAATCACAAAAAGAAAAAAAGTCAAAGGAAGAAAGTCAAAGGAAGAATCTAGAAGGAAATAAAAAATGTTGGAGATACAGAGGTCAAGTGTAAACAACTTCGTTAAAAAGAAATAATGTATAGAAATAAAGTGAGTTCAGAAATGAATGCTTTAAGTATAACCTCTCTTCAACACTAATTTGTGGTTAAAGTTTTTATAATAAAGGAGAACCAGTTCATGCTCTTCTTACTTATTTTTATTATGTAGTTAATTTGCTAGTCGTATTCTTGGTTGTTCATGCTCCCTTTCTTTTAGCAATTAAAATGGTACGTGCATCTATTTTACAAGCTTGATGAAATATGCATTAGTATTACTATTTTAGGAGAATACGGAGAAATAAAATTTAATATGTAAATTTTCAACATGAAATTATTTTTTGAGTTACTGCTGAAATAGAGCTGTCTGTTCAATTTGTGTAAAGGTGAGTTAGTGAATGAATTCTGTGGATATATTTGTTCTTCAGTTCCTTAAGAGATTTGAAAAATGAATGAAACATGATTTGCCAGTTTGGACCAGAGAGTTACTCATTTCAATAATCTGTTCTGGACGGTAGTGAGTACTAAACACTTCTGGCAAAATTGCAAGAAGTTCCATGATAGGAAATCCTGAAGAACTAGATGCCAAGGTAGTGTGGTGCTCCCATTTTAAGAGTGTATATTTTGGATATTAGGAGCATAAACTGTGAGGTGAA